TGTCTGTGTCTGTAGTCTGAACGTACTATTACAATACAACGTGGTGTGGTGTTGTTACTCTAGCATGCACTGATTTATTGACAGCTGAGATGGGGTGGCCAGATTATTTTTTTCACTATCGGTAGCTTCTCAAACCTTTATCGGTAGTTATCGGTAGGCAGTCTTACCAACAATCAATACGAAACTAACGATTTTAAATTGGCTCACCACTTTAGTAGCCTATTGGTCCCAAGCAAACGATTAACGTACCCTATTCTAGTTGAAATTCTATTACTACACTATGTTTGTTTTGATTCGCTATGAAAGTTTGACAGATAACATCAGGGGTGTGTGGATTCATGCAGAACATGCAGGGGTGAGTGAAATAGCTTGGGACTGCTTGGGACCGTTGTTCTGGTACTGAGTGAGCCAAAAATAATAATGATTTTCTTCGGGACCCAGCGGTCTTAGAGTTACCTCTATGGTCTTACATACTTACAGCATAGAGGTAACTCTAAGACCACTGGGTCCCGAAGAAAATCATTATTATTTTTGGCTCACTCAGAACCAGAACAACGGTCCCAAGCAGTCCCAAGCTATTTCACTCACCCCTGCATGTTCTGCATGAATCCACACACCCCTGATGTTATCTGTCAAACTTTCATAGCGAATCAAAACAAACATAGTGTAGTAATAGAATTTCAACTAGAATAGGGTACGTTAATCGTTTGCTTGGGACCAATAGGCTACTAAAGTGGTGAGCCAATTTAAAATCGTTAGTTTCGTATTGATTGTTGTTATAACTCTCCAGTCTGGACAGCGTTTTAGACTCTGAACCATTTGGTGGATTATCATAAATTTTGGTTAAAATTTGAAAGATGGAAAGATATCGATTAACCCTGCTATCCGAGCGTGGTTATTTCTGACAGACAAGAAGTTAAATGTTGACAACCGTGGCTGAGTTCTTCTCGAAAACTTGTCAATCGACAGCACAGGGATTTTCGAACATCAAGAATAACTTTCGAAATGTCACTTTTAACCACGAGTTAAATTTAACTCGGCAAATGGTTCACAGCCTTAGTTTTTTTCTACCGAGCTCGGCTGTGCAAATTTGTTTGCTGAAATTCAGCTAAGCATTATCCGAGACTCAGCAATCAAATGCCACTTTTGCTGAGATCTCAGTGCAACTTTTTTTGCCGAGATTTGCACAGCCGAACTCGGTAGAAAAAAAAACTAAGTGTGTAAGAAGGCTTTCCCGATACTTGAAACCTTTGTGATGAGGGGGGGAGTCTGCTCCAGAACAATATACTGTCCGTCAGTTCCTCTGCTATAAACAAGAAATACTGTGAGGGAGAGATGGGCGGAGAAAGCAAAATACAATTCGGCAGCAGGGATTTGTACCTAAATTATCTTGCAACCGTTGCTAGAAGCTAGCGTTTAACCTGACTTTTATTTTTGATTCGATTTACGTAAAAAATAATAATTGATTGCATCGCAATATTTTACACATTTCTTGGTGCCATTAATTAACAAACTTGAGAAGCACACGAAACATAAAGGTGATTGAATTTCTGTTCGATTACAATACTCTCAACTTTAATCTAGTAAAAATAAGAAATCCTCGGAAAAAATCTAATGGTAATGTTCGATTGGCTCAGATTTTGACAGTTCATTTGACTCAAAACATTCTTTCCGCCCTCTCTCCCTCTGAGTATTTCTACTTTAAACGTGTCGAAATCAGTATGTAAATCAGTAATGGTAACATACACAGCAAAAAAGTTGTTGAATAGGGTTACGGTATGTAATGTGGGTCTAGTCCTTTCATTCGGCCTATCACGCAAATAAATAATTAATTAAGGAATATTACACAAAAAATAAGGAAAATATTGATCACTGATGGTTGATAAATGTGTACCACACACAAATCAATTTATATCACAACATTTCAATACATTTTCAGCTCTCGTAAGTAATAAAACTGGTTGAGAATATCACAATGTTCGGAGTTTTTAGCCGCCATGACTTATAAGGTTAAGATGGGAAGGTTGACTGACGATCATCAAATGGCCTGATTATGGCATTTATTGATTGGAATTACCTGATAATACACACTAGACGTAAAACTTACAGTTGCTGTTTGAATATTTTATGTTTATTTTAATTGTTTAACAACGTTTTCACAAGTAAAACATGGACCCAACTTTAGGGACACATTTCTTTTCTATGTTCCTAACTATGGCCCATGAAATTCATTTGACAGCATATAGCAATAAGAGTAACGTCAACAATGTTGTTTTGCATTTGGATGATAAGGAACGAACAGGAAGGGAGATTTTTTCTGCCAAACCTGTATAATGAACATCACAATGTTCTGATTTAGATATTCTGCGGTCAAAAGACGATAAGCGAAATTTTTAATTTTTAATTTTTAAATTGAGTGATTTAATGTAGTTTTCGTAAAATTTTCTCTAAGAAATGTTTTGAGGAATGAAGAGCATTAAGTTAACAGTGATAGTGATAAAAAAAAATACATCAGAAAACGTTACCAAGAGCGTTTTTTTGAGGATCAAACAAGATAGGACGAAGTTGCATCCATAAATAGACCCAATTTGGGGACAATAGACCCATATTACATACATTTCCCTCGTGAGTTATTGTCTTAAAAAAAGTAAGTTTTTCAACTTTTCGTGGTTTCTGATAGCAAACGACATGATAAGCATATCTAAGCATACCATTTAGCAGTAGAATATCGTTTGCAGGTAAATTCATTGATGAGTTATGATTAAAAACGTAATCGATGGCTGCATATTAGACCGAGGTTAGGGACGTATACCCTATTACATTGAAACTGCTGCAACCAGGTCAATCCATCGGTTGTGTAATATCACATTGTACGTTGTACATCGATTTTGCAAACAAAATTACATCCATTGATGTAATATTGTATCTGCTTTTTGCTATTAAATCATTATTTCATACATCAGCTTGAATTACGTTGATCGATATTACATTTTTTTTGCTGTGTATAGGTATTGAAAATTTTTCAAGATTACTAAAAATCTGCGATTCTCGGTAGGAAAAGTGAAACATCGGTAGTTTTTAACCTTTCGTCTGTGAATCGGTAGGCATCCCGAAAATCGATAGGACTACCAATAAATCGGTAGGTCTGGCCACCCTGTATTGATGAAACTCATAGGGTGGTTCATAAAACACTTAAACTAACAGGGTGATCCAAATACAACACCCTGAACTTCTACGAAGTTTCCAGAACTATTACGAAGTTCCCTGAAGTCATCTCGTTTTAATCTTTCACCACAATGATTTGTGGATAAACTTTCTATCTGTACTTACACACTTACACAGCAAAAAAATAATTTTGATATCACGTCAAAGTGGATGCACTACAATCATGTCGAATATATGGTGTAATATTACTTGCTAAAAAGTACAAAATTATCATTAATACAATGCATGAACTGACATTACGCTGCTTTTACTGCATTTGTTTATTCATGTGGTCATAAAAATTACATGAAATTTTCGACATGATTGTAGTGCATCCACTTTGATGTGATATCAAAATTATTTTTTTGCTGTGTAGAAAAGATTACCGTCTCCGGTAATTTTTACCGAACTTTCAACAACTGAACTGTTCGGTAAAAGTCGGGCATTTTAATTCATTAGTTTTAAAGCTTCAAAACAAGGTAAACTCCATTCTTTAAGCAAGACTGACAGTGTTTTGAAATTAATATTTAGTGTGTATGTGAAATTTTCTATGTTACACACACTTGGATTTTTTTTACCGAGATGGGCACCACCGAGCAGCTCGCCATTTTATTTTGCTGGATTCCAGCAACATAAAATGCCGAGCTGTTCGGCGGTGTCCATCTTGGCAAAAAATCTAAGTGTGCAGCAACAATACCACTTTAGTGGGCAGTGTGCAGCAACAATACCACTTTAGAGTTGAACGTAGGAAAATAATATTATTTTGACATACTCCATCAGCTGCTCAGCAAGCTACATTGGTGTACTTGGCGCCAAGAATAGGGCAACAAATCCAGGCTACTATAGTGCAAGAAGCAGTAAAGCCTTGAAATCAGTCGATTGATCATATCAGAAAGTTATCGGCTTAGAGCAACCGTACCAGTCGTTGCCATTTGCGGCACTATTTTACTTACGCACAGCGTTTCCATTTTGGCTTGATCACTCCTCTCCACACCGGTCGTTGCTATCAGAGTCATAATTTAAGTTACCGTTTTCCACACCGGCAAAACAAACTTTTGACGTTTATTCAAAATAGCAATCGTCTGATGCGTTGCTACCGGGTTGCTAAATTTATGAACTCACTACTTCCCAAGGTGCGGATTGCTATTTCCCCCACCTGAATAGCAACCTCCGGTACGCAAGTAGCGTTATGGTAGAGGTTGGTAAATGTGCCTTATTTACTCATTGGTACGGTTGCTCTTAGAAAGCAATTAATAACTAATGAATAGCAGGCTGTGCTTGTGAACGAACGTCACGTTTATTTTTGCTGTTCTAATTTTTTTCTCCACTTGGGTGCTGCTCGAGTGATATTTTTTTTTCGATATCAATACTTTGGCTTTACAACTAGAAGTCAAGCTAATAGAGATCTGAAATGCAAATTACTGATCCTGCCCGATAGTCATTCATTAATGCACAAATCTCGCTGTCAGCGGAAGTTTCTTGTTTGAAGAACATGTGTGTGTCCAGGGCGGGTTTACAGTGAAACTTCTATGAAAACAGCTCTTATCTTTACAACACCACTTCACGCTACTTACTCATATCGGGAATGGGCCTACCTTGTAGCTGTTCATGCAGTTTTAAGACTAGAGAATGCCTTGATTAACTTCACTTTAAGTGTATACACATAGTAAAATTGTTATCTAGAAATGATTCAAATTGCTTATCAAGCTTTGCAGCACTCTGAGAGATGCTTGAAATTAAACGGACGATAGGCACCTGCCCCAATATAAAGGTAATAACATTAAAATCATCTTCAGTAGTGCTCGGAAGATCTATTTACGAAGTAGTCCTGCAACAGTTTTCATCATGTTCAGAATCTCCTTAATTTTGATCGCTTGTATCGTTGGAGTCTTCGGAGTCGATCAGAGATGTCCTGATCAGAAAACATACTCGCAGACCGTGTACTTATTGCATCCGACAAATTGTGGAAAATTTCTTACTTGTGTGTGGGGTAAAGCAGTAGAACAGGACTGCCCCGCCGGTCTCCAGTGGAACGGTGCTGGAAATTACTGTGACTGGCCGGAGAACGTTGGCTGCAGTTCAACTGTGGAGGAACCAGGTTGTGTCTCTGGAGCATTTTCACCCCACAAAGAAGATTGCAACAAGTTCTATTTATGTGTGTTTGGTAAACAGTGGGAGCTGAATTGTCCACCGGGCTTACACTTCAATCCAAGTGCCAATGTGTGTGATATTCCAGATCACGCAAACTGTCAGCCGCAAACAACTACAACTGTTGGCACAACAGTTTCAACTGAACCAACAACTACGGATGAGCCTGAATCCACGACCCCTGAAGTTACGACAACTTCGGCTTCATCAAGTGATACTCCTACCGAAACTGAACCAATAACTACGGATGAGCCTGAATCCACGACCCCTGAAGTTACGACAACCTCCGCTTCGTCAAGTGATACTCCTACCGAAACTGAACCAATAACTACGGATGAGCCTGAATCCACGACCCCTGAAGTTACGACAACTCCAGCTTCATCAAGTGAAACTCCTACCGAAACTGAACCAATATCTACGAATGAGCCTGAATCCACGACCCCTGAAGTTACGACAACTTCAGCATCGTCAAGTGAAACTTCTACCGAAACTGAACCAATAACTACGGATGAGCCTGAATCCACGACTCCTGAAGTTACGACAACTTCAGCATCGTCAAGTGTAACTTCTACCGAAACTAAAACAATAACTACGGATGAGCCTGAATCCACGACTCCTGAAGTTACGACAACTTCAGCATCGTCAAGTGAAACTTCTACCGAAACTGAAACAACAACTACGGATGAGCCTGAAACCACGACCCAAAAAGATACGACAACTCCAGCTTCATCAAGTGATACTCCTACCGAAACTGAACCAATAACTACGAAACAACCTGAATCCACGACACAAGAAGATACAACAACTTCAGCATCGTCAAGTGAAACTTCTACCGAAAATGAACCAACAACTACAGAATAACCTAAATCGCTGTCCACTGCATCCAACCAAACTGAACGATGGCAATTCTTTAGTCGAAGGCAGTCGCGGTTAGTCGTATGCTTATCAGCTTTTTCAGAAGCCTATTTTTATTTGTCACGCCCATATTTAGGAATATTATCTTATATTATGTTATATATACAGGATATACCGCTAGCTAGCTCAAATTTTATTTTTCGAAGACGATGGTGATGAAGTTTTTTTTGACGTAGGACTACGTCTGTGATTTGTATATGGGGGTACACTTTGTGAAAACCGAAAATGGAACATGCAACAAAATTATGAAAGATTTTGAACGTTAATAACTGCCCCTGGACCAATTTCAACAATTTTATCACCAATGGATTAAAAATATTTCTACGCATCTGTTGAATTTAAGACTTTATCATTCTTCGAAATGTCACTATTGAAAATTGCACGAATGTGCAACTGTTGCTATGATAATTAAAATTATCACCGATTGATTGAGTGAGTGGTGGTGTTCTCCAGTACACAACGAAAGGCTTCCTGCCAGCAGCTAGCTATCAAGGCTGGCCTCAACCGCTGATCGGATTCAGTTCCAATCTCCGTGTGTGGTGGTGTCCGGTAGTCAGCATCAGTAGCAGCGGTAGTAGCAGTGCTTTCGGCGCGTGGCGTTGAACATCGTTCTCCAGTACACAACGAAAGCTGCAGCCCACATGAGCATCCATAGAAGGATGAAGAAGCCGCACCGCTATTGATCGGAATCAGTTGCCCTTTGTGAGTCGCTGTGGGCCATCAATGCCACACACTTAGAAATACCTAATCTTACACGTGACGGAATCCATTTTTGACTTAAAGGATGAGACGTAAACCAACATGTCATGTAAAATTAAATGCTCCGAGACTGAAAAGTTCGAAAATACAAAACACAAGCTCCTGCTGCAGTTAACAAATAACATTTACGATATAAGACCACGTAGTCCTTCGTCACCATTACGTACAATCCCATATGGCTGTCCCTTGTAGTTTTTTCATCTAGTTTGTTTATTTGGAAGGCTCAACCGTGTTAGCTTTACGGAGCCGATAGTGAATTGTTCATTGTTTGTAACGAAATTTACTTAATTCTATGTCTAGTAGGAGTTGGGTCGAATACTCACGACTTACCCGAGGTTAGAGGGGCACATTGTCAATGGATAGGATCAGGTTAGGAGCTTGAAGGTGAGGTATCGTTGTCTCATCAGAGTATTGTCCCCAGTATAAACGGTAGTGCGGTTCTAGATTCGTCTGGAGTTCGACCGGCTATGGTGACCAGTGACAACCCTTATCCTTAGATGTTTAAGTGGTTAACTGTAGTCATCTTATGTAACTGTCATCCAGTGTGGATGTTTGTACAGTGCCATTCCCGTTTTTGGCAATACATGATATATGTCCTCCCTGCTGTTTAATAAAATCATCGAACGCTTTGTTCCATTTCTGGTTCTACATGATCGTTATTTAAAGATTAGAGAAGTTTGGCTTTCTGCAAAATTGTACAGAAAGCATTAGCACAAATTTGAGGAAATAAATTGCTGATCAGTCAGTGTTACTGTAAAAATAAAAGATAGTGCCCACACAATATTAGGAACTTGCTGTCTGACGACATCTACTGATTTGATTTTGAACTATAATATGCACTTCCAGATAAACCTTGTCTATCTGATCACGCGCCTGCATAAGTTTTAGATGAACAGTGATATTTTTTTTTGACAACAGGATCCATTACATTTGAATAGCTTCATGCCGTCAGGCTTGAACGATTGTCAGACGTAATGGTTTATAGTGATGCAAGGAGCCCGGTGGCCCAGTAGCAACCGATTTTGTCAGATTTGCTACGTAATAGAAGTGTTTTTCGCGGATTAATGGGAAGTGTGCTTCTTCTTCTTTACAAATTGATCTGTAAATCTGTATCTCTTATGCATCACGAACTAGAGTGGACAGATCTTGTTATTGTTTTCCATTGAATGTAATTTACATTCACTGAAAAACAAAAATGGGTTCCGTTCGCTCTGGTTCATCATGCATAAGAAAAACAAAAAGATTAGATCTCTAGGTAGTCCCATTAGCTTCATAATTTTTTTAGAAACTTTCAAAAAATTCTGAGTAATGAAAGGAAATGCCGAGAATTTTAGGGAAGTTTTATAAAAAAAAAATTGTGGGAACAAAAGGGAAGATCCGAAAACTTTTGGAACATTCTGGGAAGTTCATTGAAGCTTCATAAACTTCAAGGCGGTTTTATTAGCTTCAGCAAAACTGCAGGAACTTTGAAGTAGTTTTAAGAACTTCGGAGATATCCTGAGAATGATTGGAAGCCAAGAGAACTTCAGAGAAGTAGAGAGAGAAAGAGAAATATTGTTGAATCTTTAAAGAAGTTCCAAGTAGTTCAGAGAACCTAGGTCTAGAGATCTTATGGGATTTTCGGAGATCTCAAGAGTGGTTCCAATGATTTCAGGGAAGTTTCAAAGACATTATGAAGTCCACATCAGTAAGGAAGAGCGTATCAATAAATTCAAGACAGATCCATTAACTTCTGGAAAGTTTCGAGAACCCTTAAAAAGTTCTGGGGATTCCAGGAATGTTCAGAGAACTCCAGAGAGCTTAAGCAAACATCAGTAATATATCTGAACTTCACAGAAGTTCGGAGATCTTCAGAGAAGTTTAAAATTTTCAGGTTAGTTCCATTCAATTCAGGACTGTTCTAAGAACATCAGAAGAATTAAGAGAACTTCAAGGACGTTCTGAGAACATCAGGAAAGAGGACCTAAGGGCAGTTAAATTAATTTAAATTTGCTTGAACTTTGAAGAGGTGTTCCAGTTGTTTGAAGCAAAACACGCTCCGCGATTTTCATGGCAGTTTCGAGAACTTGAAAAAAAAATGCAGGAACTTCAGTGAAGATCAGAGAGCGTCTAGGCAGTTCCATTAACTTCAAGCAAATTCTGAGATGAACATAGATAGTTTAGAGAACATCAAGGAATAGGATGCACAGAGAACTTCAGAGCAGTTCCATTAACTTCAGAAAAAATGCAGGAAATTTCAAGGACTTCCGAAGAAATATGAAATATTCCGAAAATTTAAGGAATGTTTCGAAAACTTCAGGAACATTGTAGGGCCTTCAGCGGAGTTTTCAGGGGGAAAGACACTCATTAAGCTGCAGGGATGTTCTTGCAAGAAAATAGTCAAGGGAGCGGCGCCGGGATTTTCAATAATTTAAGAAAAAACTCGTGAACTTTGTTGAAAATCTAAGAGCAACATAATTTATTTCGTTCTTATTTCAAGAAAACAGTAGGAAGCTTCAGAAAGTTCCCGAATTTTTAGAAAAAAAAAAACATGTGATCTTCACATAAGTCCAGAGAACTTTATGAAAACTCCAGAAACCTCATTAAAACTTCAGAAAACGTTGAGGAATATTTGTTTATTTATTTATTTATTTATTTACAATCACCGCCTTCGACTAAGTCGCACATACTGAACTACTTAATACTATTTTCTAGACTTAATTCCTAATCCTATGTGAAAATACAGTTTTGGACATGTTAACATCGAATTTGTCGTCAACTTCATTAAAAGCCCGGAGACACGAATCAAGTGGATTGTGATGCCCATAGTTCGTCCTGTGGTACGGAATTGCCAGTAGAGGTGAACTTCGGAAGCGACGTGGAGGAATGTTGATCGGTATCTGCTCAAGAAGTGCAGGACAGTCAATACCTCCTGTGATGACATCAAACACGAACATAAGCTGTATTTTAATTCGCCTCGATGACAGACTTTCTAAGTTGATCATTCGGCATCGGTCGGGGTAAGAAGGAAGATTTACTGGGTCATTCCAGGGAAGCTGGCGTAGAGCGAATCGTATGAATTTCCTCTGCACACGCTCAATTGCTAAGATCTGCGTCGCGTAGAATGGTGTCCATACAGGAGCAGCATACTCCAGGATACTTCGCACTAACGAACAATATAACGTTTTGATGGCGTACACATCAGTAAAATCTGAAGCATGTCGACGAATAAATCCGAGTGCAGAAAATGTTTTGGCGCTTATATATATATATTCGTTAAACTTCAATTTTGAGTCAATAGTAACGCCCAGATCACAAATCGATAGAACTCGATCCAGTATGACGGATTCCATTGTAAATTGATGGACAATGGGCCTGGTGCGACGCGTAAACGAAATAACTTTGCATTTGTCCCTGTTCACGCGCATTCCATTATCGCTACACCAAACGAGCATAACGTTTATGTCCTCTTGCAACGCCATGCGGTCTTCTGAAGAAGTGATGACACGATAAATCTTCAAGTCGTCGGCAAAAGAAAGGTTAAAAGAAGAGAGCAGCATACACACGCCATTTACGAAGATATTGAAGATCAGCGGCCCAAGAACGCTTCCTTGGGGTACACCGGACGTGATGTTGAACGGCTGGGATTGTGCCGCATTCACTACAACACAACCGGTTCTGTCCGACAGATACGAGAACAACCACTGCGTTATCCATTCCGGAAACCCCATGTGTACCATTTTGTCTATGACCAAGATATGTGGTACAGTGTCGAAGGCCTTGGCGAAATCTATATAAATCGAATCAACTTGTTGTCCATGTTCAACTTCGCGAGACAAGGTGTTGACGTAACACATCAGATTTGTAGTCGTGGAGCGTTGTTTCATGAAACCATGTTGGCTGCCGGAGATTAATGAAGATACGGCGTTATACAGAACGTTATGCACCAGTTTTTCAAAAATTTTGCTCAAGCAACACAAGACAGAATTGTAGATTGGAATGATAGAAGCTGATTTCCAAGCCACTGGGAACATCCTGTCATGCAGCGAACGGTTGAATAGAGATGTTATGGGAGATGCAAGTGCGGTGGAGCAATTCTTCAGCAGCAAGGGTGGTATCCCGTCCATTCCAGGTCCTTTATCAACGTCGAGTTCTTCAATGGCTTTCACCACTTCGACAACGGAAAACTGAACGTCGGGTAGATTTATGTCTGGTGAAGCAATATGGGCAAAGCGGTTGAAGCGAGGAACAGGCGATGATTTGCTAAATACGCTCTCGAAGAACTTGGCGAATAGGCTTGCTGCTTCCGAATTAGAGCTAGCGATGGTTTCGTTGTATTTAACGTTAGTTGGAATGCGAGTCGCCGATTTTTGGCTTCTGTCAAAATTCCAGAAACATGAAGGATTTTGCTTGACATCTGATTGAATCTTAGCCATGTAACTTTCATACGTGGAAAAGAGAAGTGCCTTGTAAGTTGTTTCCACTTCCTGAAGGTTATTCCGCTCACTATTGGACTTCATCAGAAAGAAACGGCTGCGTGCTTTCCTGAGGATGTTTCGTAGATGACGTAGTTCAGAGGTCCACCATGGCTTGTTGTAGACTGAAGAAGCTCGTTGTCTCTTTTGAGGTACTTGGTCACTAAGAACTTCGTAAAGTTTATCATAGAAAGCTGATACAGACTCGTCCAATGATTCCCGTCGCAGTAGAGCATCCCATTCGATGTTTGAGAACACGTCATCCAAACGACCAAAATCACACGACTGAAAATTAAAGTTGAATCTCACATCCCCATCGTCCGTTGTGATTGTGCCATTACAGCTTTCGTCAAGAAGCAAGATAAATGGTGTGTGATGGTCGTCAATTGGTAAAACTGGAGTTGAGGGTACAATGAGGTCAAAGTACTCCGGTAGATTGACAAACACAAGATCGAGGAGTCTGCCATTAGTATTCACAACATCGTGGACCTGACGCAAACCAGAGGCAAACATATTTTCTGTGAGGCAACGTTCTATTTCTGAGGAAACGTTTGATGGGATAAAGCCGTTCACGTCATCGTCTGATTGCCACCGTAAACTTGGAAGATTGTAGTCTCCTAGTGTCAGAATCACATCAGCTGTTGACGAGTTTTCCGAAATTAGCTGCACTGCGTTCACATGAGCGTAATCAGTCTTGTAAGCGGTCACGGTAGTCGACACATTTTCTGTGATAATTGACTGCCTTTGCCTCCGACACTTGCAAAACAAGCTATCATAGTACAGTACCAAACTAAAATGTCGTATGACAGGCTCTGTCATACGACACTGTCGCCGAAGACCGTCACGAATGTATGTATTTTAGTTTATCTCATAATAAGAGCTGCTGATGGTGTGCTTGTGTGAATTTTGAAAATAACAAGCAATGATGTTCTAGTAATAATATTTCTGACCAGAAATGGTTTAATTTACACCAAATTGATGAATTACAACGAAATCACACATGTCATATGATAGCTATTTTGATAATTTTCTTTTAGCTCGAATGTTATTCTACCGCTCGTGTTGTGTGAGAGAGACGACGGTAGAGCATGAGTGTTCGAATACAAACAGACTGTCGCGCACGACAACGAAGCGAGTGTAGTAAAAA